CAATTAAAAACATAAAATAAATAAAGCAACAAGGTTGACTAAGTCTCACTAATACTAAAAGCTATTAAATTAAAAGGCAGTGTTTTTAAAAAGCACAAACAGCTTTTGGTTTTATTTTTAAGGCAATCCATATCTGCGCACAATACATATAAAGTAATATTTCAGTAATATTATTATTATTAACTTATTATTGTTAGGTTAATAATTAGCAGCAACATTCACTTTGTTTAATAATTTTTTTATTTTGAATTAAAAACAATAAAAACCTCAAACCTAAAATTTTAGAATAAAAACAGCTTCCAGAAAAGTTAATATATTGTTATTTTCAGTCTTTTAAAGCCTAAAGATAAACTCAAATAACATGAATTACATTTTTGCTCCTGTACAAATTGAAGCAATATGGATTTGTGGGATTTTAAATCTTTCAAGCTCAGTATGTTTAAAAAGATCAACTCAGTTTTAATAAAAAAAAAAAAAATACATTTTAATAAACATGGTGATAAATTTCTAAACACACAATATTATCCAACATCAGCAGCAACACCTCCAGCAGCCTTGCAGAAAGCAGCATAGAGCGGAGAATTCTTATTGAATCCTTTCATTTGGTGGAAGTAGCGCCATCTGGTGGGAAAAAAACTAAGATAGCTAGTGTCCTAAATGAACATTGACTCTTTATTTTAGGCTCAGATAAAAAGGTCAAATTCAGCTGTTTCAAAGGGGAGATTTATTTTCCCATCCAAAAACTTTGCCTTGGTTTTATTATTTCAGACAAATTTAGGGAAACTGTATGTTGTAATGTTTTAATATAATCTAGGAAACTGGAGCTAAATTATTTAATCAGACCCAGAACGGCTTTGATATAATAAATAGTTCCATTGATCACCAGAACTCACCTCTGAGCCGTACGTCTGCACAACATGACAGAGCATGAGGAAGGAAATGTCAAAGAGCAGAGCTCGAACAGATGCAGGCTTGGCTAAAAGACAAAAACAATAAAAAATAAAAATTAAAGAGATCATCAAGTTAGGATGAGTTTTTATTCAAATCTCACATAAGGTGTTGATTTTAGAAATAAACTCACATCCTTCACCGCTGATGTGTTTGGGGAATTCATTGAGCCTCAAAGAAGGTAGAAAACAGCTTTTAAAAAAACTGCCATCTAAGACACGTAACCTTGGTTATGATGTATTGTTGAGATACTCACTTGATGAATTTCCTGGCGAAGGATTTGAGTTTACCCGTGGCGGCGGCTGCAGCCAGGAGCAGATCCAGGCTCTTCCCTGACAGCATATGTCCCAGAACCCCCAGGAGCCCCTCTGGGGATTTTGAATGGTCTGCATCTACTGTCTAAAGAACACCAAGACGAAAAATATTTAATTTACCCTTTAAATAATAAATTCAGAGTTACTGATGTGATATACTGTCAGTCAAGCATTGATTGTTCCACTTCTTATGCTACAGCACAGTGCATGGCTGTCCAGGCCTGGTTACCTTGAGGATATTTGTGACAGTTGGCTCAGCTCTCAGGATGAGGCCCGGGTTAGGCTGGATATTTGCATTTTCTGCCGTTTTCAGCCTTGGGGCAAACTCCCGGTCCTCATTCCTGAGTAAACAAGGCGAGAAGTACAGCAGAGAAAAGGAGGAGAGATGGAGAATCAGCGGAGGTGGTAACATAGAAGGCAGCCACCATTTACAGAAAACTAACGCAACATTTTATTTAGTAGCAAATGAAGAAGTCTAAATATTTGCATCCTTTGAACCTTTAAATGCATGTTTTAAAGCTGCAAACACAAACTTAACTGTTAATTTTGAGGAAATAATACAGGTGCTGGTCATAAAATTAGAATATCATGAAAAAGTAGATTGATTTCAGTAATTCCATTTAAAAAGTGAAACTTGTATATTATATT